GCATCAAGTTCCTCTCATTGAAAAGCTTCTTTGATTCAATAGTAGAGAAAGAAGAGTGAGAAAAGGGTAGATAGAAGAGAAAAGGAAACGTGAAAGGGAGTAAAGGAAGAAGAAGAAGGTGGCAATGTAGGAGAGAGACATGAACTCAGAACTGAGATATTGAGCAGTTCAGGACTTTTGGATACTCAAAAGACAGATCGTGCATGAGAAGTCTGCGCGCAAAATATTTTTTAAATCAAAAGCACTTATCTAGGAGTTTCCAAGTCTTGTTTGATCAATCATCTTGCAAGGCTAAATCATTTTTAATTTAATACTTCTGGGAAGTGGGGGGGAAGCACTCGGCACAGTTGGCAAGCACTGCGCGTTAGCATTTGGCACTATTTATTATCGCTGTTTACGGTGATATAAATTAGGCTATACTGATATAATTAATAACCCTAAATTTAGGGGGTAATAAATAGCAATATTTATATGAAACTGCAGTCTCTGAAGAAGTCCAGCCAAAAAAAATCCCCACAAAATGCTGACTACCACATTGTGACTGTTAATGTACGCGTGGGAGCACCAGGTGTGTGTGTGCAGAATGTATGCAGGTGTGAGCAGACACAGAGGAATGGCTGCATGCACAAGCTGTTAACAGGAGGGTGTGCAGCAGGTGCACAGAGAAGACAGCCTAAGAGCACATCATGAGATGGCATGCAATTGCATAGGCAAGTGTTGGTGCACAGGCAACTTGTTGCTCAACTGTGTGGTAATGAGCTTATGTGGAACAGTGTGGACAGCCAACAGTGTTTGGTGTTTCCTTGTTAAAAACTGTTTGTGCTGCCATAATTTAGCTTTTACAAGTTCCCTTTCTGCCCCTGGTTTTAATGGATGAATCAGAAGAACTAGATTGAAGAGAAAATGCTCCTAAGTACACATATTTCACTCCATTTCAAGCTGTGCGAAGGTTGTGGTGTGTCATTATTTTATTCTCCCAGGAAGAAAACTCAGGAAAAAAAAAAGGAGGGGGAAATGCCCAAGGTCACATACTGCAGAGCCAAGAACAAAGCACAGGTCTCTCACTCACCCAGTATACTTTATAGCAGTTTCCTAATCAAAGTGCTATACTTCTTCACGGATTCTCCACCGCTGTGTAGAATGGAGTTCCTTCTATAGCTTGCCTGTTTAACCATGATTTAATTTAAAAGGGTGATAGAGGAATGAGAGAGAGCAGTCAGCCTAACACCAAACAGTACTCACCTTGGGGTCTCACAGAATAGCCTTTGCAAAATCATCAACCTACAAAGACACTTCTCTTTAGTAGTTTAATGTCTGTCACTTTGGACCATCTTATACTACCATTCTTCGACATTAAGACTACTTTCCTTGTAAAAAAAAGAAAAAATATACAAATAGACCCATGTTCTGACCTGATATGGTTATCAGAGGTAGCATCCCATATCCAGCAGTGGTCAAATGCCACTGCGTGACAACTCCCAAGATCCACTTAATAAAAAGCAGTGTCTAATATTAAAATATACAGCCATTAACAGATCAGCTGATTATTATTTAACAAACCCTACATCCGACTGCTGCTCAGGATAGGGCAAAGGCTGCCCAGGAAGGCGGTGGAGTCAGCATCCATGGAGGTGTTCAAGAAACATGGAGATGTGGTACTTAGGGAACATGGTTTAGTGGGCAATTCTGGTGGTAGGTGGACAGTTGGATTAGATGACAGAATTCTTTTCCAACTTTAATGATTCTATGAGAACAGTCACACAGCAACACAACTGCTCATCAGCTCTCTCTGGATTGAACAAACTCAAATTAGATGTGATATGAGGTAGTGATTTATATTTTTATGTGATGACAACCTTACTCATACAGACATGCTTGCATCACTACAACCTTCATTTAGCATCAGCAACAGGACTCAACTCTCTTCATCGCTGACAGACAGGAATAGATCCTCACAGCACTGACTGATGTGCAAGGGAAGGCTGTTTCCCAGCTCAGCCACACACAGAGCATAATCGCATTACTGCCGTCATGTCCGTGACAGAGGAACATTCTCTGCATGCAACTTTCAGATCACATTAACCAAAGCAAATACCAAGTCCCTGATCGTCTTGTTGCTGCACAAGGCTCTCGAAGTGTGATTGCACGTATCCTGCTGGGATGAGCACTCTTCCACTGAGCTGTGCCTGCAGCAGGGAGCCAGCTGGGGAAGGGGCACAGCTGGGCTGCTGGAAGAAATCTTTTGTAACCGTGCACTGGCATTCATCTTTGTGACGGGCAGGGAAGCATTATGCATAGCCCAGTACAGAGGACTGGGGAGGAGTGAGAGAGTGAGGAGCTTCAAAAGAACTGCCAACAGAAAAGAACCCAATCCTTTCTTAAATAAAGATACTGAGGTAATGAGACTAGAGCAGGATTAATTCCAGATGACAGAACGATGGATAGTAGAGAAGATGTACTTCCAAAGCACGAAGATTTGAGATCAGTGATAATTCCAAATAAGAGATAAAACACAACAGGACAAAATGACTGGTAATGGCCTCAAGTTGCCATTAGGGGAGGTTCAGGTCGGACACCAGGAACAACTTCCCTGAAAGAGCAGTGATGCAGTGGCCCAGGCTGCCCAGAGAGGTGGTGGAGTCACTGTCCCTGGAAGGTGCTCAAGAAACGTGGAGATGTGGCACTGAGGGACATGGTTTATTGGGCACTGTGAGTGGCAGATGGACAGTTGGACTACATGTTCTCAAAGGTCTTTTCCAACCTTACTGATTCTATGATTTTATGAAAACGACTGCTTACCACACACAGGTATTTTGGAGTCCAGTACTGAGCCAAGATATTTGCTGGCCTTCATAGTGGATTTGACATATTCATTGAGATTGTAAATCTTGAGGCAAATAAGTGGCTTCATGAAATGTGTTGTAGAGATGTAAAAAATAAGTAGTGTGGACCTGCTTACAACTGCTTAGTCAGTAATGGCCTACAGACTCCTTTTCCCCAGGAAACAGTTTCCCTCATAACATTGGCAGTGATTTGAAAGACAACAGAATTTAATATAGCACTTAAACCTGGACAAAGTAGAACTTTTAAGGACAAAGAAACCTGCATATGCACTCGCAGACAGTAAGGGACTGAAAGTTACCTCCAAAAGCTGTTAATATCTCTAGGCCAAGAAAAAAACCTTTTCCCTCAGAGCAGGAGCACTTCAGTCCACTGAAAAAGCACATAGGAAGAAGAGCAACAGAGCCATGAGAAGCTTGACAGCACAGTATTTAAACTGGAGCACAATGGAATGGTTCTCTCCCTTCCCCAGGCTTCATGCCCAGCTACAGAGACATGGCCAAACCCTTGTTCCCCTGCTCCTTTCCCACACCAAATTTTTCCATTCATCACCAGGTTTAACTACAGTTGAAGCTCCACACTTTCCCATGTGATGTGAGACAGTACCCTCCACCCAGGTGTCACCAAAAGCCACAGTGTCCTTCCTGAGGGCCCTTCCTCTACTACGCTCGCTCCTGACAGCTGGAGAAAAAAGGTCAGACATTCCCTCCAGCCCTCCATCTGCTGGAAACTTTAATTAAGCAGAGTGAAAGGAAAAACAGAAAGCCACAATCTTTCATTTTTTGCTTCTGCTGTCTGGAAGAATCAAGGAGGCATTTGGTGCCAGCAGAAGCTTCCAATACTCGGGGGCAGCATCCAGCTCCTCCAAACAGCCCTCCCAAACTACAGCACACTCATGTCCTGGGGAGCATAACAACACAAAACCTATGTTCATAGTCACGGACTAGAGGCTAAGAACACTCTAAGCTGCCCTCTGCTGAGGTCCTCATCCAAGGCCAAAAGGGATTAGATTAGGACCAAATAAATTCAAGTTTTTGCTTAGGGTCTTTTTCCTGTTTCTTCAGCACTTGATCAGCACAACCTGATCTGAAAGCAGATGAATGACTGTAGTTGAAGAAAAATTGTTACTCTATATTCTGCAATGTGTTTCAGTGCTTGTCTAAAACCAGCCTTCAGGTTTCAGAATCCATTCCAACAAGCTTTGCAACAGTTCTTACTGAAACCTACGAGCCCTTGTTAGCAGGTCAAGAAGCAAATTTCCCCCTTGTTACGTGATCATAACATCCTGCCTCTACATCAGAGACAATTAAGTCTTATAAACAACCCACAACTCACAATCACTATGCAAATACCCAGTGAAATGAGCAAACTCCACTGTCCTTGAGGACAGTAGATTTTTTTTTTCTCCAGCAAAGTGCATGCATACCATATATTACTGCACTCGCCAACACCTCAGAGGAATTACTCTTTCACTAGCTGCACAGCAATCTTTATTTTGCTTCATTTTAACATAGCAAGACTTTTTCCATCCCTAGGAAGGTTAGTATGGATGGGCAGGAGCAATGTAAAGGCAGCTCTGCAGAACGCAAAACAGAATTGTTGTATTCATGGTATATTCATAAGCCCAGGAAGACTTCGTATCTCTTCAGAAGCATATGGGAGGGAAGAGGAAAAAGGAGGTAGGAGAAGGAGGGAGTTTCATTATATAGTAACATTTCCACAAAGATATGAGCATTTAATAGATCCTTACATATCTTTCACCCATTCAAGCTATATAAAGCATTAATTAAAGCCAGTTATTCCCAGGTATATCAGCTTGCAGATAAATTTTGCCCTGCTGTTTTGTCAAAATAGATAGCTTTCCATTCAGCAAGTAAAATTCAATTTGTCTGCTATCACTAATACTCCACTGAGGAGTATTATACCATAGGGCCCCACACAGGTACAGAACCATGAACATCTGACATGTACGAGACAGCACACTGAGCTATATCCAAGATTTACATTCTCCTTATGGGACTGATCAGAGGATGAATAAAGCACAAGACAACAGGAATTCTGGGCCAAAACACTGAAGACAAGACCTGCTACGTGGACAGCAGTAAAGCCTGCAGGCAAACCCAGTGAAAATTCACAGTGAACATGTTACTACAACGCACTTGCCATTGATGACTCCATCAGGGTTGAGCATGGGGACAATCTTGAAAATGAAACATTTCCTCAGGAGATCAGCAATGGGATCACTGCTCACCAGGAACTCCAGGGTCCCCTTCATTACCCAGCTGGCGTTGCTTTCACCGGGGTGAACACGGGCCATCAGAAAGACATAAGGACGACTGTCTGTAAAACAAAGCAAAGGCATGAGAATGGTATGTGCAGAAGCTGCAGAGATATGATGATGTCTTCTTGTTTTAAAGACAAAATCTCACTAAACAGTTCATAAATTCTAATGAACCCCTACTTCAAAGTAGACTTGCAATTTGGCAGAGAAAATTGCCTTGTTATCAGATATGTTATTTGCCATTCCTGTGAAAAAGCACCCACACTCGGCCTAGTTATACATCTCCAAAAACTCTCTGTATACATATGCTTAGAAAGGACCAAATTTGACAGCAGATTCTTTGAAGATCCCATCTGTGTTGAGCAAAATCCACAGACAGGCCAAGGCAATGGAAGAAGACAGAGGCAGACACCTGCCAGGCACAGAGAATAAAAGAAAAGGACACAGCAATGATGTGTCTTAAAATTATCCTTCTGTGAGTGCTCTGAGTGTTCACAGTCTCAGGCCTCTGTCACAAGTCAACCTGACAGATCTGCTGTAGTGGAAGCCAGTATCTGTCAGGGAATCACAGCGATGCCATGATGTTTTTTCCAGCTCTGTCAGAGCACAGGCTGTCTAGTAAAGGGACAGAAAACAATCAGAGGCATCATCTGAGTATCCTTGTAAACCAATGCTGATTTAGCAAGTTACGCTCCTGCGTCCTCAGCTCCCAAAACTGTCCTTCAGCTTTCTAACTGCTTTACAAACCATTACTCAATTAATGTGAAACACAGAGGTAGAATCATAGAATCTCTCGAGTTGGAAGAGACCCTTAAAGGTCATCTGGTCCAACTTCCCTGCAGGGATGTAGACAGATCTGGAAGCAATCCCACTTGTACCCCTCCCCATTCTTAAGCATTTGGTGAGCATATCCAGTCTCCACTCAAATTCATACAAAGCAATTATCCTGCGTTCCAGTAAAGCGACTGGAACTTCTGCTACTCAATATCCATTTGTTATTTTTTTATTTTTAAATCATTCTTGCACCTTACCCTGAGATTTGTATATTTTCATCGATGTGTATACATAAGAGCCCAATGGACTGTAAAAGATCCCTTCAGTCAACAGAGAAATACTAGTTCTGCTTTTTTTAATTTAATATATGTATTAAAAAAAAATCTCTATTCTGCTCTAGCTAGATGGTGTGCATTACAATCTACCTTAGTAATGCTTTAAAGCAGCAACAAGCAAAAACTATTTTTCACAAAGGTATCAGTCGCATTTTGCTATGTCCAAACATTTTCTTCTTTCTCCCATCATCATGATTTAGTGCTGTTTTGCAGGCTCATTGCTGAGCTAAACTTATGGGACTTTGTTGTTGTAGTTGAGAATGAGGCTCTTGAGGACTCCTAATGGACAACAGCTGTAAATAGCACAAAGCAAAATAAAACACGCTCTCTCACAATTGACAAAAACAGCTTTAACAACTCTTGTCTCTTCTGTACATCGGGAAAGCATGCAGCATGTTAACTGAGAGATTCTTTCTTCAGTTAATGCAAGAGAAAAAGAAACGGTAGGAAAGGGTTTTCTCATCTCAGAAATGTAAGGCTTGCCATAATTCTGCTAATTCAACATGAATTCAATATGATAAAAGCTTCTAAAGTTTCCTGATCTTAAACTCCAGGAAATGGTGGACCCATAGGGTCCAGATGGGGAACTCTCTCTATTCCACTTAAAGTCCCCTTTATAAGTTCCCCTCCCTGACGGACACATCTGCAATGCCAGCACCTCATCCAAAGGAGAAATGTAACAAAGGTACACACCAGCAGGCAAACTGCAGCTCTTGTTATGCATCCACTCCCCCCCACAGAAGCCATCGCAGACAAACGCTGTGCTCTGCAGCATGAAGACTAACCAAGCACTTAACAGTGCAGAGAGATGGTGATACGGTCGTAACACTTGTTACTCTTCACACACGTGAGAAACAGAAATGGGACTCTTCAACAGGCAGGAGTCACTCGATCCTATAACTCTAACGCATATCCTGTAATTCATCTGCCATGAAGTGGCTTTAAATAACCATGATAAACGTTAGAACTTAGGAAAGCAGCGTGCAGCAGCGCAGGCCAGCCCCACTCAGCACACGAACTGGCAGGCGCCAGTCAAGATTTGTGCACTTAGCTGAGCTGCTACAGTCATTCTCGATTCACCATGCCCCATGACTGCAGTGCTGCTGATTTCCACTGGGCCTCAGCTACTGTTCTGACGTGCCATTTCAGTCCTGAGCCTTTTGATACCAGCTTGTGCCATACTGCACCTGCTCAGGACACTGAGACACATGTTCTTATATACTTCCTTCAGGACCCAGGATTGAGCTCAATGCTTCAAAATCCCCAAGCCAACTCTTAGGCAGAATCCTCCCCAAGTTCTGGGGAAGCTGCCAGAAAGCTCAGGTTACCCATTTATCTCTGCAAAGCCCACATGACACATAACCTTCTCCGGGAATGTAAATAATAAAAAGAGAGCAGAGGAACCTTTTCATGCTACATAAAGCCTCATCCAACAGATCTTGTCTCATTACTCTGTGTTACATTCTGACATGGCCAGGATATAACGTGGCACTAACAAACCCAGAGATGAGAGATTAAAGCATCACTGACGCCTCTTGCAAAACTTTGAGCAAAAATCCTTTGAGTAATAAATCCAACATATCATCTACTTTCCACCTTCCCTTCTCTTTATTCATTTTAACTGTGGATATATACATGAAAATAAGAGCTTTGTTCTTCCAGTACTGCTAACTTGTTGCTTAATCTCTTGTCTGTTGCAGGGATCTGCATCTCTATTTTATCTGACTTTGAAGTTACTAATCATGACATCAGTTGGGGAAGGATCAATCTGAAATAAAAGAATGAAACCCCATTAACAAATCAGTGTCCCCCCTAAAGAGGGGCACAGAAGGGAAATGAAACGCACTTCCAGATGCCCTGACCTGAGTTAAAATGCTAAATAATATCAAGCTGATATCTGGGCCATCTGTAAGGGAACATGGTATTTGTAAGGGAACAAGGTTTTGAAGTGATACAAGGCTAGGATTTTATTAGGAGTCAAAGGGAATCATATACATAGCATGTGACAAATTCAACCTAGATCCAGGTCTTGACTGGAATTGTTCTGGCTGTGCCTCTGCATACCTATCTTCCTATTACCTCCAAGCCAGGGTCCACAAAACATAGGCTCCCCTCCCCTCTCCCCTGTTCCAAAATACAATGTGACTTTATCATGAGCCCTGCACAGATCAAAGGTTCAGGTTTACCCCCAGGACATAAGAGATAAACCAAGAAAGCCAACGCTCCCTCACAACTTAATTATCTGTGACCACTACAGCATATTCTGAGAGTCAAATGATGTGTAAAAAAGAGCACCAAACGTAGCTCTGCCATGGGTGTCACGTCTGCATCCTGCCCTGGATGCATCTGATCTGCCCAAGGCTAGTTATGCAAAGTCAGACAAAGACAGGATATGGTGTGATGTACAATGAATATATTAAAGTATATTGGTAACAAAAAAAAAAAAAAAACCTTCAAATACTGAGATCACAAAAACATGAGATGGCTCTGAGGCAGAATCTGTGTCAGTTGCTTTCCTCTCCTAAAACTTTCCCTCAAGTTGTCACTCTTTCAGTTACTGCAAGATGTAATTCATACCTCCCCCATTTTCCCCATCTTAGCATTACTTCCTGGCCCTGCTTTTGGCTGAACACTGCTGAAACAGACAGCTTTTAATGCAGAGGCAGCTTACATAGTCTGCAGTGCCCACTGTTGTTTTCCAGAATTATCAGTGAAACATCCCTCCCTTAAATGCACTTACATCACACGTGTTATCACTGTTATGTATGGCAAAGAAGTGAATGCTACAAATTGCCTTGGCTAGCTGTTTTTCTACCTTCATAGCCTGGTGGAGGTGTTCCAGGCCCCAAATTGCTTGGCAACCTCCCTTTGTGCATGTGTTTTATGAATTCGCTCACCTCTGAATCAGAACCGGAGATTGAGATGAGAGATGACTGCAGAGATGAATACAGGTGCTGAATGCTCTGCATTCAGCCTTGGTGCAGTTTGACATCCTGCTACTGCTGGATATTCTTGTTGTTTGTTTTTGTGGGTTGTTTTTATTTTCCCCCCCCTTGACTACAGGAAATCAGTATGCCAGGATCTACAATCCATTTTGGGGCAGATTCCAAAATACCAAATTCTGAAGATAGATGGAAATTCTACTATCATTTGATTGACCTTCCATATGATGTAACAAAAGGAGACCCACATGAACTAATTTGTGTTCAAACAAAAGCTTACCTCTAGCAAAGGACAGAGAAACAAGTCTTGTTTTCAATTCTTGTACCTGTGGAAAGCCTACTATAACCTTTTGAAAATTGTTTAAGTTTTTAACTAAAATCTCCATCTAAAGCAGGTGCATCTGCATTAGTCTAGCAGAAACTTCAACCACTGCATTTTGAGCCAGATATGCCAACTCAACATTCATTGGCACATCCTACACTCTAACAATCCTCTGAGCTATCTAGATACTACTGAGCTTCAAAATTAAGTGCAGCTACCCTATTAGCTTCACAAGCACTCATCACAAACAAACTGCTTTGCATGTATTGTAGGGTAAGAACATTCCCATCCATGATTGTATGCTGCACATTCTCAGTCTAGCCTGGCAGCAATATCCAGAGAAAGACTATTGAGACAGATTCCAAGGGAATAAAATTAAGATGGAGGACAGCTGGTTAGCAAGGAGTACTGCCAAAAAGAATTGGGGGATTATATCAGATGAGTTGATGATGCAAAGAAGTTCCAAAAATGACAGCTCTCCTTCTGGGACACACTAACAGGCAGTGTCCCAGCTAACACAAGGAATGCTGTTGTTTTGTTTTGTATTCCCACTTTGCTCAACTCAGTGAACAAAAACAATTTGCTGAGATACAGTGTCTACTGCTGGCCACCAAAGTTCAAAAATGGAAACTGAAGAAAAAGCCGTTAAAGAATGATAAAATATTTGGAAGTCACAACTTTGAAGA